TGTCCAAAAATTCTCAAAGAATTCTAGGAAGTAGATCTCGACTTCAAAAATTTAAAGAAGATAAGAGTAAGAAGATCACTGTTAGTTAATGCACCAGCTAGTGTACTCAATCCTACATACATATTTACAAAAAAAAAAAAAAGCACCAAAAAAAACTGAAGCGAACAGTCAAGATTTGATATCCTTAAAATTATTACAACCATTGCAATTAACACACTAATTTTTTTTATCCGAATACGTCGTCTGAGAACTTGTTTGATCTATAGACCAGAGAGCGATCAGGCCAATATCGACAATTATCGATTTATCTCTGATACACATCCTCTACGAAGAACTAACCCAGTTCGAAAATCTGCTCCGACTTTACAACGAATAAGTGAACAAAGTTCTTGAACATCTTAACGATTTAATACATAATCTTCCCGAATGAGAAAATTTACATTTTAAATTGTATTATCAAATGGAAACCAAAATTTGTCACCAACAATGAAATGACGTAATCTCCGAATTTTACAATAGTAGATATAATTTAAATTTTATATCCCCGTTTATGGTTTATAAATCTGTCTTGAGTTTTTACTTTAGACGTCAAAATTTTTGGAAGAAAATCAACAATATTTTCCAATTTATGGATGATGTGATCCTACAATTTTGTGAAATAAATGTTATTTAAATGTTAAAAAGTAGTATATTCCTGAACTTGTGGTTTATAAATACGCTGTTGAGATTTTTCGGCTGTAGAGGTTTCAATTTTTCAATATGTCAATTTTTCCATTCTTCAAATTTTCGGTTTCTCAATTTTTTTATTTTTTGATTTCTCAATTTTTGTCCTAAATTTTACGATTTTTAAATATTTCGATTTTTCAATTTTTCAAATTTTGACGTTTCTAAATTTTCAATTTTCTGAATTCTGAACTAATCTTTTTTTTATTTTCCCATTTCTCGACTTCCCAAAGTTTCGATTTTTTTCAATTCTTGAATTTTTCGATTTTTCGGTTTTTTGATTTTTTAATTTTACGATTTTTTGGCTTTGTTTCTTTAGTGTATCGATTTCTCAATTTTCCAAATTTTTAATTTCTCAATTAGTTCTGAAATTTTTCAATATTTCAATTTTTCGACTTTTCGATTTTTGCCCCCCTGGATTTTTTCGATATTTTAATTTTTCAATTTTTCAAATACCAGATTTTTCAATTTCTCGAGTTTTCAATTCTTCTATATTTTAATTTTTCAATTTTCCGAAGTTTTCAATTTTCGGTTTTTTAATTATTTTTGTTCTCGATTTCGATATTCGAATTTTCGATGTTTGATTATTCAGTCTCTCGATCAATTTTTTCATTTTTTACTTTTTGATTTTTCGATTTTGGCCTATTTTGGTTTTTCAATTTTTCGATTTTTCGACTTCTTGACTCTTCCGAGTCCTTTTTATTTTTCAGTTTCTCTATGTCTCAGTTTTTGAATTTTGTGATTTGTCGGTTTTTCGAATTTTTACTTTTCGGCTTTTCAATTTTTCAATTTTCCAATTATTTAAATTTTCGATTTCTAGATTTTTTTATTTTACGATTTCTGAATTTTGCGATGTTTCAATGATACGATTTCTCAATTTTTGTCCTCTTCAATTTTACGACTTTTAAATATTTCGATATTTCAATTTTTCAAATTTTGACGTTTCTAAAATTTCAGTTTTTCGATTTCTGAACTAATCTTTTTTTTTCTTTTCCCAAAGTTTCCATTTTTTTTAATTCTTCGATTATTCGATTTTCCAGGTTTTTTGATTTTTCAATTTTTAGATTTTTTAAAGCTTACGACTTTTTGACTTTGCTTTTTTAATTTTTCGGTTTCTCAATTTTCCAATTTTTTAATTTGTCAATTTTTTGGATATTTCTTTCAGTTTTGAAATTTTTCAATATTTCAATTTTTCGACTCTTCGATTTTTGGACTTCTGGAATTTTTACTTTATGGATTTTCAATTTTTCGTTAAACTTTAGATTTTTAAATTTTTCGACTTTTCGATATTTTAATTATTCAATTTTTTTTTGTTCTCGATTTATCGAGATTCGGATGTTTCGATGTTTGATTGATCGATTTATCAATTTTTCCATTTTTGTTTTAGATTTTTCGATTTTGGCTAATTTTGTTTTCTCAATTTTTCGATTTTTCGACTTCTCTACTTATCGATCTCTCGATTTCTCGATCTTTTGATTTTCCGATTTCTCGATATCTCAGTTTTTGAATTTTTTGATGGTTTTTCGATTTTTTACTTTTCAGCTTTTCGATTTTTGATTTATCATCCGATTTTTTTATTTTCCAATTTTTTTACTTTTCGAGTTTCGATTTCCCGCATTGTTGATTTTTCAGTTTTTCGATTTCGAAATTTTAATTTTCGAATTTTTATTTTTTTGATTTTTTGATGTTTCGATTTCTCCATTTTTCAGTTTTACGATATTTTAATTTTTCAATTCTTCAATATTTTTTAATTTTTCAAATTTTGTCGTTCCTGAATTTTCAGTTTTCCGATTTCTCAATGAATCTATTTTTTAATTTTTCCATTTCTCGTCTTCCCAGAGTTTCGATCTTTCAGTTTTTCATTTCTTCGATTTTTCGATTTTCCAGTTTTTTGATTTTTGAATTTTTCGGTTTCTTAAGTTTGCGATTTTTCAACTTTGTTTTTTGGGTTTTTCGATTTCTCAATTGTCCATTTTTTTAATATTCTCAATTTTTGGATATTTCTTTCAGTTTTTTTGGTTTTTTCATGTTTAGATTTCTCCATTTTTCCGTTTTACGATATTTTAATTTTTCAATGTTTTAAATTTTAGATTTTTAGATTTTTAGATTTTTCAGTTCTTCAATATTTTTTATTTTTTCAAATTTTTACATTTCTGAATTTTCAATTTTCCGATTTCTCAATCGATTTTTTAATTTTTCCATTTCTCGTCTTACCAGAGTTTCGATTTTTCAGTTTTTCATTTCTTCGATTTTTCGATTTTCCAGTTTTTAGATTTTTGAATTTTTCGGTTTCTTAAGTTTGCGATTTTTCAACTTGGTTTTTTGGGTTTTTCGATTTCTCAATTTTCCAATTTTTTAATATCCTCAATTTTTGGATATTTCTTTCAGTTTTGGGATTTTCCAGTGTCTTGATTCTTCGACTTTTTGATTTTTCGGACTTTCAGTTTTTCGTTTTTTAAACTTTTTCAATTTTTCCACTGTTTTATAATTCGATTTCTCAATTTTTAAAATTCTAGGTTTTCTCGATTTCTCGAGTTTTCAGTGGTTCTATATTTCAGTTTTTCAATTTTCCGAATTTAAAAAATTTTTCTTTCGTAAAATTTTTCGATTTTTCAATTTTTTGATTTCTGGATTTATCGAATTCAGATGTTTCGATGTTTTGATTGTTTAATTTCTCGAGTTATCAATCTTTCAATTTTTAACTTTTCTTCTCGGCTTTCCATTCCTCCATTTCTCGATGTCTGATTTTTCGATTTCTCGAAGTCTCAATTTTTCGAGGTTTCGATTTTTGGATTTCTTGGTTTTTCGATTTTTTACTTTTGGGCTTCTCAATTTTTCGATGTTTGTTTATTTTTCAGTTATCCGATTTTTTAATTTTTTAAATTCTGGAGTTTCGATTCCTTGATTTGTCAATTTTTAAATTTTAGATTTTTCGATTTTTCGATTTTTTATTTTTCAGTTCTTTCGTATTTCTATTTTTCAATTTTTCTAATTTTGACGTTGCTAAATTTTCAGTTTTCCGATTTCTCAATTAATCTATTTTTGATTTTCCCATTTCTCGACTTCGCGAACTTTTTCAGTTTTCAATTCTCCGATTTTTGTCTTTGTTTTTTTTTTGGTTTTCCGATTTCACAATTTTACAATTTTTTAATTTCTCAAATATTGGATATGTGTCTCAGTTTTGGGATTTTCAAATATTTTAATCATTCGAGTTTTCGATTTTTCGACTTCTGCATTTTTCGATTTTTGATTTTTTGAATTGAATTGAATTTTTTTTGAATTGAATTAATTTGAATTGAATTGAATCAAATTGAATTAACTTTATTGGTGTATAGGACACAAAGCATGATTTTTAGGATTTTAAGTTTTTCGTTTTCAACACTTAAGATTTTTCAATTTTTCGATTGTTTTTTTATATCCCGATTTCTCAATTTCTCAACTTTTCGATATTTTAATTTTCAATTTTTAAAATTCCAAATTTTTCAATTTCTCAAGTTTTCAGTTCGTCTATATTTTAATTTTTCAATTTTCCGAATTTTTAAATTTTCGATTTTCCAATTTTTTGAGACTTCGATTTATCGAGATTCGGATGTTTCGATGTTTTGATTATTCAATCTCTGGATTTATCAATTTTTCCATTTTTAACTTTTCGATTTTTCGATTTTGGCTTATTTCGTTTCTCAATTTTTCGATTTCTCCATCTTTTGATTTTTCGATTTCTCGATGTCTCAGTTTTTGAATTTTTCGAGTTTCGATTTCTCGATTAGGTATTTGTTGATTTTTCAGTTTTTCGATTTTTAACTTTTAGATTTTCGAATTCTCATTTTTTTGATTTTTTGATGTTTTGATTTTTCTATTTTTCCGTTTTACGATTCTTCAATTTTTCTTCTATTTTAAAATTTTTGGTTATTTCAATTTTGGGATTTTTTAGTATTTCGACTTTCCGATTTTTCGGGTTTTGAATTTTTCGATTTCTCGACATTTTATGTTTTGGATTTTCAATTTTTCGATATTTTAACTTTTCAATTTTCAAGAATTAATTCTTAGTTAAATAAAAATTGTTGCATGTCAAAATCGAGTGAAACATGTGAGATGTGATATTACGTTTGTAAATAAAAGCATATAAATAATAACTATTTCTAGCAGAAATTCTTAACGCTTATAGTCGACATTGGCCTGAGTTCGCTCGGGTCTATGGATCAAACAAGTTCTCAGACGACGAATAATCTTCGATTCACCCTTTGAAATACATCCAACTAAAAAACTTCTTTTTCCAGGTGGAATGTAGTGACGGACAAATCGGATACGGCAGAAGACGTCGAGCCATCGCTTCCAACCCCAACAGCCCCAACGGCTTATTCGAAATAACCATCACATCTTTCATAAAAGTGGGTTATGAAGACGGCGCCGGAAACTTGGAAGAAATCGTCGAGAACCAGACGAGGATATACAACAACAAGAAGCTGATCGTGGGCAATCAAATGACAGACCGGAGGGTGTACAAGACCGTGGACGACAACAACCTAAAAAGCCTAGAAAGCAAGGAGGAGCGCTCCTACACTTCCATCGTCGCCGAGAGCTCGTCTTCGGGCCGCAATTTCGACCTAACCATAATTTCGCTTTTAGCTTTATTCAGATTGTTCTTGTAAATAAGACGCGAAGTGCAGAGACGGATTATTGGAATTTGCGAGTATGTAAATATGTCTGTGATAAAATATTCATCTTAGATCATCATCTGCACAGTGAACTGTTTGCGAAAGCGGCGCTTGATTAAAGAGGGCGCTGGGAAGTGATGACGTCGAGATTATTTTTGTATTTCTGGCCTTGGAGTGGAAGAGTGGAACTTAGTCACCATATATTTAACATAATTGGACGAAAATGCTTTTGGAATCTCGACGATACTTCTCGACGTTATCTCTTTCTTCTTACTGTAAATTGCAATACTAATGTAATTTAATTACTGCCAGCTTAATTAAATTAACACGACGGCCATTAATTTTAGTAATAAATGTCTTCAGAATCGGAATGAACGATTAAAAATAAAAGCGGCGAATTTTGCATGTAATTAGTTCTGCAGAGAGGAATTTATTACGTGCAAATCCTGCGACATTTTAACGAGCCAGCTTCTAAAGATATTGACTCTTAATTGTAATAATACTTAATTTTAAATTAATATTAATTATTTAACTAGTCTGTATTTTGAATAAATTCCGTAATTTTACTGCCGATTTGTTTCATTTATTTATGTGGACCATTTTGAACCCAAAATTATATATGGGGTGAGTATTATAACTAGAGAGCGGATTTATGAGCACAAAAAATTAAGAATAAGCGCTTAAATAAGCACATTTTCAATAAAAAAAGTTTTATTTTAAGCAAAAAGCATTAAATAAGCATAACACTTTCATTAAAAAAGTTTTATTTTAAGCAAAAAAGCATTAAAAACCTAATCATATTACAAATCAAAGAACACTTCTTAGAACTTTGGATAAAATATTATTACAATAATCCTAGAGTTTATATTTTACACACGTATTTCAGTTTTCTTTAAAACAATTTATGATTGTAATATGTTCCAAGTTGTCCACTGTAAACTTTTCTCGCCGATCATTTAAAATGTGTTTAAAATTGGAGAATGTGCGTTCAACATCCACACTCGTTGTTGGCGCAAATTTGAATTTTGCAACTAATGTTGAATCTAACTCCAAATTTTCCACCTTCTGGCCTTGTAAAACACGAGCAACGTCGGAAAGAACACCGAAACCTGCATTTTTATTTAACACTTCGTCAAGTTTTTGAGATACTCTAGTATCAATATCACCCCTTACTGCGTTTGCTTGTTGTTTAAATTATTTCACTAAGTTTATGGCATCTACCAACAACATGTTGGGTTTTTCTAACTTTTCTATTACCTCACATACGAATTGATAATTGCTTCTTAGAAAAGTTAGATCTTGTCGCAAATCTTTGTTTTCCAAAATATTTATGCAATCTTTAATCGATTGAGAAGAATCTTCGCTAAACTCCGTAACTACTTCCTCAAATTCTTTGATATATTTGTCATAATAAAATGTGGCCTGTAACCATGTTCCCCACCTCGTTATAATCGGCTCTGGGGGCAATGGTATGTTTGGAAATTTTTCCTTAAAATGTTGCACTCTTAGTGGGGCTTAAACAAAAATCTTTTTACCATTTGCCACTAATTTATTAACAGTAGGAAACTGCAAACGTATTCCTTCAGCCACTCTGTTTAAACCGTGGGCAATGCAAGTAGAGTGAATTAAATTGGGGTACAATATTTTTAGATTATTCCCTGCTTTCAACATATAACGAGCTACATCCGAGATCATCAATAAAATTTTATTCGCCAAAATTGTTTAACCTTTAATTTAATAAAACATAACCTAACGAAAAAAGTTCAGGGAATTTTTATTCTTCTGCATCGAATACCAACAAACTCACTAGATTTTCATGGCCAACCCCTATATAAAGGTCGTGAACGGATAATACCTTTAATTTTTTTTTGAAATATTTTATCTTATTTTTCACACAATCGTCACAGTTGAGATAGGGCGGGTGGGCGGGAATATGTTAATTTTCAGGAAGTAGAATTGTGAGTAAATCATAATTGAGTACATTAATTTAAAAGAGCCGTTTGATTAATGCTGTGCTCACTAAGCATGAGACTTATTAAATTTTAGAAGAATGTTGCATTAATCAGAAAAATGAAGTGAAAATCTTAAGAAAATTCGTAATCACACTCAAAATCCAAAATGTTTAAAATATTGGAAATATTCCTTATGTTTTCAAAACTAAATGAATATATTTACTTAGGTTAAATATCTGAAACATAGTTGGCAGTGGAGATTTTAAAATACCCATAATACATTAATTTTCAGAGTGCAAGAACATGAAAAAATCAGAGTCAAAAATAAAATTTTCGTGAAAAAAGAACCAACAAAAAATAAATTTTCTTTGATTTAAAAAAGATTGTTCGATTAATGCTGTGCTCACTAAACATGCGACTTTGCAAATTTTAGCGAATGATGAAAGTTTAAAAGTGAATAGATACAGGAAATTAAATTTGCCATTTAACACTTTTAAATTTCACAAGTTTTTACAATATTAATAGGGGCAAAATCAGTTTTATCTTAACAAACACTAGGCCCGCCCACCCGCCCCTATTTTCTCAGAGGATGTCATCTGCCAAAATAAGTTTTATGTTAGCAAGTACTAGCCCCGCCCACCCACCCTTTACTTTCTTAGAACGTATGTTATTTGCCAAAATCAACCTTATCTTATCAAGTACTAGCCCCGCCCACCCGCCCCCTATTTTCTCAGAGGATATGTCATCTGCCAAAATAAGACTTATGTTGGCAAGTACTAGCCCCGTCCATCCTCCCTTTATTTTCTCAGAAGGTAGTACTTGCTAGTTAGTACTTGCTAATATTACTATTACTATTAGTCTTATTTTGGCAGATGACATATCCTCTGAAAAAATAGGGGTGGGTGGGCGGGGCTAGTATTTGCTAAGATAAGACTGATTTTGGCAAATGACATAAACTCTGAGTAAGTAGGGGGCGGGTGGGCGGGGATAGTACTTGCTAAGATAAGACTGATTTTGCCCCTATTAAACTTGTAAAAACTTGTTAAATTTAAAAGGTGTTAATTTGCATATTTCCATAGTAACGAGTTAAGTTCCTAAATCTGATTGGATATTTATTTTTTAACAACCCAGTCATTAATTTCTCTGAGACACCCTGTACAAGCAAATTAAAAAAATATGAATACAGTGATAAAACACAAGCATAGACTGATCATATTTTGCACATTTTATTAATCAGAAAAATAAAACTAAAATTTTAAGAAAATTCAATAATGATATTCAAAATCCAAAATGTTCAAAATATTGGAAACATTTCTTACGTTTTGAAAATTCAATGAATATATTTGGTTTAAACATCTGAAATATAATTGGCAGTGAAGACTTTAAAATTCTCATAATACGTTAATTTTCAGAGTGTAGAAACATGAAAAATCATAGTTGAGTAAAAAGTAAAATTTTTGTGAAAAAAGAAGCAACAAAAAGTAAATTTTCTTTGATTTAAAAGAGATTCTTCGATTAATGCTGTGCTCACTAAACATGCGACTTTTCAAATATTAGGGAAGAATGAGAGTTTGAATGTCAAAAGATGCATTGAGTGTTTTGTAGAATAAAAGGAAAATGTTAAATTAATCAGAAAATGTTAAGAAAATTCAGTGTTGACACTTAAAATCCAAAATATTAGAAATACTTCTTATGTTTTGAAAACTAATAGTCCAGTCATTTTAGGATAAAAAAGGGATCAATCTCGGAATGAGAGATAATAAGCTGAATTTTTGTATATACCTTAATTTTGGCGTTTTAAAAGTTGAGTCGAAAGTCTCATAAGTCTGCGTCATATGTTATTCAAGGTCAAAGATGAAGAAAAACAGTTTTGCGATTATATCGGTTTCTATTGCTCCAGTGATGTTAACATTTATTATCATAATTGTAGAGCACAAAATTTGGGACAAATTTTATTTGAAACATTTTTTCATGCGCTCAATCGTTTTTGAGATAGAGGGCAGTGAGAGCGCAGCGCTCATCCATACGTACTGTAATGCAATCAACCGTGAATATCTATGAATACTACCTTGAATTTTGAAAAATTTGTATTATTTATCAATTAATACATTGTATTTAAACATTTTACATAATTTCAACAAATTCATTGAATAATACTTACCTACTTTGTGTAATTAAAAACGCATTTAATGAAATATTTATTGTATATCTCAATTTATTTATATCTTTAAAATGTGTAAGGTTTTAAATACTTATTTTTCTATCATGATTATAACTGGAACGTTTGGAAACAACGATTCAGGGCACCGAAGATGATGACGATGAAACAGAAATTCCCGAACGTCCAGAAGATGACGGTGAAGAAGAAGAAAATTAATACTTTTGTTCTTTTTTAATTCCACAAAGTAGGTAAGTATTATTATCATTAAATGAATGTATTGAAAATATGTAAAATGTTATTAAATACAATGTATTAACTGATAAATAATACAAATTATTCAAAATTAAAGGTAGTATTCACAGATATTCACGGTTGATTGCATTACAGTACGTATGGATGAGCGCTGCGCGCTCACTGCCCTCTATCTCAAAAACGATTGGGCGCATGAAAAAATGTTTCAAATAAAATTTGTCCAAAATTTTGTGCTCTACAATTACGATAATAGATGTTAACATCATTGGAGCAATAGAAATCGAGATAATCGCAAAAAACTGTTTTTCTTCACCTTTGACCTTGAATAACTTACGACGCAGACACGAGATTTTATGAGACTTTTGAGACAACTTTTAGAACGCTAAAATGAAGGTATATACGAAAATTCAGCTTATTATCTCTCATTCCGAGGTTGATCGCTAATTTGACTGGACATATATTTAGTTAAAACATAATTGGCAGTAGACATTTTCAAATTCCCTTAATACATTAATTTTCAGCGTACACGAACATTCAAAAATCATAGTTGAGTCAAAAATAAAATTTTCGTGAAAAAAGATGCAACAAAAAGTAAATATTCTTTGATTTAAAAGATAGTTTAAAAGTGAAAAGATACAGAAAATTTGCAATTTAGCACCTTTAAATTTCATGAGTTTTTACAAGATTAATAGGGGCAAAATCAGTTTTATCTTAACAAATACTATATCATTTGTCAAAATCGATCTTATCGTAGCAAATACTAGCCCCGCCCACCCGCCCCCTTTTTTTCCAGAAGATATATTATTTGCCAAAATCAACCTTATCTTACCAAGTACTAGTAGTATTTTTTGGCAAAAATCGTGACGTAAGACTGTCATTTACAAATCTGGTAATCGTATTGCCATTTGTTTTATCTAACATTTTCAAACTTACTACATACCCTCGACTAGGGAAATTTTTATTTAAGATTTCAACAATTAAACTTGCCACGTATCTTCCACAGCTATCGGTTGTTTCATCGACAGCGAACCATAAATAATTACACAGGTCTGCGATGGTTTTCCCCCAACAAAATCAAGTAGTAATTTCGGTAGTTCTTAGATACTCATGTATAAAAAAAAATTGCAAAAATTTCTATCACGTACAGTTTCTGCCAAAAATATTTTTTTCAGTTTTGTTCTTAATACTATAAAAATTAACTTC